GGAGAAGAGTGCGGGGTAGACGGGAAGAAGAAGAGTGGAAGGGAGGAGGGGAGAAGGGAGGAGAAGGAGAAGGAGAAGGAGAAGGAGAAGGAGAAGGAGAAGGAGAAGGAGAAGGAGAAGGAGAAGGAGAAGGAGAAGGAGAAGGAGAAGAAGAAGCGTGGGAGGGAGGAGGGAGGAGAGGGAGAGGAAGAAGGAGGGGAGGGGAAAGAAGCGTGGGAAGGAGGAAGGAGGAGGGGGAGGGGGAAAGAAGCGTGGGAGGGAGGAAGGAGGATCATCAGCTTACAGGCGGAAACGGAGGAGTGATGGCATCCTTGTCAGTCTTTGAGACTTCAGTGTCACACTGCATCTCTTCCTCTATCTCCGTCTTCTCATCTCTCTCCTGCCTCGCTCTCTCCTCCTCCTCCTCGTTTTGCTCTTTCTCCTCCTTCTTCTCCTTCTCCTCCTTCTCCTTCTTGTTCTCCTTCTCCTTGTCCTGCTTCTCCTTGCGTGCTGGATGATCGTCTGCCTCAGACTTCTTCTCCGAGGCAACCAGCACGTCCTGGAGCTCCTCTTTTACCTCCTGAGCTCAGAACTGTCACATGAAGAGAAGAGAAGGGAGGAAGAGCGAGGAAGAGGAAGAGGAAAGGGGCACGAGAACAAGGTGGAAACGGGAAGAGAGAAAGACAGTGGGGATGAAAGGGGATGAAAGAAATGGGAAGGGAGGAAAGGAAGGGGGGGGGGCAGGAGGAGGAGCAAGAGTAGGAGGGAGGCACCTTGTATCGATGTTGAGGTCTCATCCTCCTGTCATCCTCATAGGGTAGGAGGAGGTTCAGGAGCAGGGCGACCATCGTGCCGACGCTGAAGGGAGCAGAGACGAGGAGGAGGATGGCCTCCCGTAGCACCGGCGAGACTCCCAGGGCATCCAGGCTGGGCCCTAGGAAAGGTTTCATGAGAAGAGACAGGAGGGGAAGGGGAGGGAGAATAGGAGGAGAGGAGGAAGAGATGAAGTCAAGAACAGGGCGAGAAGAACTGAAGGCGGAGGATCGGAATAAGGGAACAGCGGCCGAAGGATCGAAGAAACATGATAGAAGGAGAGGATCGGAAGGTTACAAGGGGGGAGGGGGGGAGGAGGGAGGAGGAGGAGGAGGAGGAGGAGGAGGAGTACCCATGTCCTGGTAGACCCAAGCAGGAACGACTGCAACCCCGATGCCTTGAGAGAATGTAAGAGACGAGAGAAATGAAGGCGAGCAAAGGATGGGAACTCAGGGGTGGCAGAGGAGGACGCAAGTCAGACCAAAGGTGAGGGCGGAGGCGAGGAGGAGACGGAAGCGGTAGGAGAAGAAGTGATCGTCCTCCCATGAGTTCGCCAGAATATTTAGCCCGATGGAGATTTGACCCGCGAATAATGGAGTGAGAATCCCTGCTCCAACTGTCATCTCCTCCTCCTCCTCCTCCTCCTTTCCTCCCTCGTCCTGAGTCAACGTCCTCTCGCTCTCGCATCCTCCTCTCTTCATCTCGCTTCTTCTCCTACCTCCAACCACGCAGGACGGAATGGCAGCGATGGTGATTCCAAACTTGGGTACGACGCCGAAGAGGAGCAGCCAGAAACTTGCAGCCCCTCCCACCATCCGGTTCCTGCACCACGTCACGCTCGAGCAGGGAGAGCAGTGCTCCGTACGCGCATCGTGAGAGGAAGAGGATGGAGTTCGAGTGAGAGATTGTGTGTATCGGCATCATTGCTGCTATGCCTGAGAATACAGATTCGAATCCCCCTGCAATCGATATCAGAGTCCTCCTCCTCCTCCTCCTCCTCCTCCTCCTCCTCCTCCTGCTGATGCTCCTCTTCCTCTTTTCTTCCTCTTCCTGTTTCTCCTCCTCCACTTCCCCTCCTCTTCGCCATCATTTCATAATTTTCACCTGCAAGAAGACCCCCCTGAATTCTCTGATGGAGGTCTGGATCCTGCCAATTCATCAAGCATTCAACATCTGACAATGTACTCCTCCTCCACCAGCACAAGCACCTCCCCCTCCTCGTCCTCGTCCTCCTTCTCCTCCTCCTCCTCCTTCTCGTCCTCCTCGTCCTCGTCCTCCTCCTTGACCTCGTCGTCCTACTTTTTCTCCTTCTCTTCCTCCCTCCACTTGCTCTTGGCTCCTCCCCGCTGCTCCTCCTCTCCGTTACCTTCTCGTCGCACATTGATGCATCAAACGAGGAAGCAATGTCTCCCATCATCTTCAGCACGACGATGAACTGAACTATGACCCTGCTCGCAGATCTCACCTCCTGCTTCTCCAGCCTCCGCGCCCTCCCATTCTCACTCCTCCACTTCCTCTGCCTCCCCCTCCCTCCCCCGTCATCTCCTCCTCCTCTTACAGTGGTCCCAGGAGCGGGGCATGAAAGCCGACCTGATCAAGTCTGACCTTCTTGTCAATGTAGAGAAAATTTCCCCACTGCCGGCTGAATCAGATTTCTCCTCCTCGCCTCCTCTCGTACCATCGCTCGATCCACAATGCTCGGAGGGTCCTGGACGTACCGCAAGCTTCCACTCCCTGCACGCCCTGAATTGTCAGGACGCCGGAGGAGCGAGTAGGGCACGAGACCTTGTCGGCAGAGGAAGGCGACGAGGTAAGTCCCGAGGAGGGAGACGAAGACTGAGAAGCTGCGGATGAGAGGAGGAGAGAAGACGTTCCATAGGGAGAAGATGAAAAACGAGACGAACCCAAGGCCCAGGTACTCCACCGACCCAAACTTGAGCGCAACCTCCCCGTTGCTCTGGCACATCACAGTAGCTGAAGCAGCGCAGTCCAGTCCTCCTCCCCACAGCTTGAACCCGACCGAGCACAGATAGACCCCGATCAGGAGGGAGCAGATGCCCAGAATTCTGCGAGGGAAGAGGAAGTGGAGAAGGGAAGGAGGAAGGATTCCAAAGAAGAGCGGCACGACGGCAGACAGCAGCGCGGTCCCCACGAACTTCATGTACGCCTCCTCCCCGCTGTATCGGCATCGGGAGCTTGTGAGATTGCACTGCCCAAGGTTCGTCACTCCGGCCTTGGCCACTCCTCCAGCGACTGCCAGCGACCAGGGCAGAGGACAGTCAGCGTCGGTCCTGCACGGCGCCGAAGAATCTTTGCCCATCATGTCCACCAGGAAGGTCTCGACGAGGGGGAGGAAAACAACACTCGAGCCCACCAGGCTCACCAGCCCCGTTCCCAGGTTGAACTCACCGCAGATGTTCACCCTCAGTAGCTGGGCTGCGCTGGTGACGGCGGCAACGATGAGCGAGCAAGACCGCATGGCATTCTCAGAGCTCTTGTCGAATCGACCCACCGCTGCTATGCGAGCAGGAACCAAGTTGATCATGGAGATGGCCATCACGGCATGCTGGAGGCCCAGCAGGAGAGCCCAGACAGGATGGCAGGGGCTCTCGAGCTTCAAGAAAGGTTGTGCTTTGAACCTGATTAAATCAGTATGAGCCAAGTTGAAGAACACGATCGCAAGACCCTTACCTTCTCGAGCATGGCACGAATCGTGGCATCAGAGACGAGCCTAGGTCCATCTCCTGCTCGCGATCCTGCCCGGTCGCGTTCTCTGGATCTCGTTCACTCCGCGACTTGTTGGAAGTTGTGGACATCCTGCTATCGTTTGGCTGATCGACCAACGACTCTGAATAAACCTTTCTTCGCCAACTCAAGCAATCGTCATCAGAAGAGTCTTCCAGACCATCAATGCAGCTTGCAACTCGCTTTCGTCTTCCAGGATAAAGGAACCTGCAAGCAAACCTTTGTATTCAATTTACTTTGCACTCTAGCAGATCATCATGCTTGTAATTCCTCGGCTTAATCAAAAGACTCGTTCGTGCTTTTCAATCGTGCTTTGACTACTCTTCGTTTTCGCTCTTGCCCTCAAACCCCCCCTCTTTTCCTTCTGTCACCTTCAAGTTTCTTTGTCAAAAACTCCTTGTTTGGATAACATCGCTCTCTATCAGCAGCACATAGCTTGCCACTTCCTCCATCCTCCTCCCTCTTATCTCCCTCACAGTGTCGTACATCCTCTCCTCTCACTGCTCTCCCCTCCTCGCCCTCTCTTTCCTTCTTCAAGTCCTCGATCCTCTGCCGCATTTTCCGAATCCCAATTTCGCCCCAACCCACTTTAGACCACCCCATCTATCACCACCCCTTACACCTACTACCACATCGATTTGTTCCGGGGCCACCCACCCACCTTTCGAAGTTCCCTCCATGCCTACTACCCAATCCGATCCACACTACGGTAGTACCGGTAGCCTGGCTTCAGTGTTGTTTTCATAGTCAGAAGTACCCCTAGTAGGTTACTACTACCCCTAGGAATTAACTTTTGAAGTATGACCCCACCCTTCACGGTAGCAGTCTCACAGTACGGTCCGTACCCCCACCCCCACCCTCCAGAAGTTAAAAAAAGTCATGTTTGAGTCCCAGTGCTCCCTCTGCCTGCCCTTCATCGTACCAGCCTGCCGCTATGACCCCCTGCTAGTCAGTACCCCCGAATCTTCCCTTAGGGGGTGGGTACCTCATGGCGACTGTAGCCTCGACTCTCCTGATTGTCCTCGTACTGATTTTTAACTTAA